TTGGTCTGGGCGGTGTTTCAGTGCTGGTGTTTTGCGCCCTTTTTGCTACTGTGCTTCGCCTCTCGTTCTTCTCCCTGGCTGCGGTATGTGCCCCTTCGCTCCGGGGGTGTCCTGGTTCCCAGTTGTGGTGAGGACACCGCGGTTTTCCCTGTGTCATGGGTGTGGGCCGCCTCCTTTGCCTCTCCCTGCTCTCCTGTGGGTCCGGCAGGGTCCGGCTCTGGCGTTTTCACCTGGCGGTGCTCCCAGGTTCTTATGGGCATGGTTGAGCCGTGTCAAATTCGTGCCACCATTCGCCAGGTGAGTTTCTGCGGTCTGGCGTCTTTTGGCCGGGCGCTGGATGCGGTGTTGTTTATATACCTGTCTTTATTTAGGTATATTTTTGTGCCACTGAGACCGTTCGCACACCAGTGACTGTCCCTTTTCCAACCCTTCCTGTCCCCCTCATGTGCATGTCCAACCCGTGCTGGAGTCATTCAGGGGACCCATCTTTTTTCATGTTGTGAGGTGTGGGGGGTTGTAGGGTTGATTCTGTACTCACCTGGTAAGGCTCCTGGCTGTGCTTGCAGGGTTTGAGCTCTGGCTCTTGGGTCCCGCCTATCTGATAGAACTTGCAGGATAGTACCAGTGGAGTGCAGTGGTGCTATTGGCACAATTGGGGAACACTGTATTACCATCAGTGATCTGTGCTTGTTACACGACCTACTTGCGAGCATAAGCCTTCTTGCTGGTTCGTCCGTGGACTTCCAGGGCACACTAGCCTGTTTTCGTAAAGCAGTTCCGGCCCATCCTGGTTGTGGGGGTATGTGGGCCGGCGGGTCGCTCCTAGCAGCTGCCTGGTGGGCCACCCTCTGGCCGGTCTAGCCTGGCCTTGGGCCGGTCTAGCTTGGCCTTGGGCCGGGCTTGGGGTGTAACAGAGCTCCCAGTACCCCATTCAGCAGGTATCGAGCGGGGTTTTCTCTGCCGTCGGTCGCCTGGTGCAGGTTTCGGGGCCTGCTGGGTTTTGTCGTGTCTCCGTTGGCCCTGTCTGGGGTCTGCCTGCTCCGTTTCTCTGTCTTTGCGGAAGGGAGTTGCTATTTACATGTTGCATGTTCCGGTGGTGCCTGTTGCTGCTGCTGCACGTGTGCTTTGGTACCGTATTTCACAGTGGCGTGTCCTTGTTCCTGTGTCCGGTTGTGGTGTGGCACTTTGCTGCTGTTTTGTGCCTGGGGATTGAGTGGGGGTTTTCTGTCCCTGCCTGATTGTCCACCCCTAGTTGTTTTCCTGGTTTTTTTTGTGCTTCTGCTCTTTCTTCCTGCCTTCTCTGCAGCAGGGGTGTTCTGCGTGTGTTCTTGGGCGTTTTTCAGCCTGTGTCCTGTGATGGGCTTCTTTGTCTTGGTCTATTGCAGTTGTTCGTACCCCTTGGTTCGGGTACTGTTCTGGCGGCGACCCTTCCGCCTTCTTTGGTTTCCTAGCTTGCCCTGCCGGTTATTTTTTTTTTGGGGGTCTTGCGATGTCTCGCGTCGGACCTGTCGTTTCTGAACTCCTGGCAGGCTTGCATGCTTTGGGGAGTTTTTCTGTTCGGCAGACGTTCCATCTCCTTGTGCCGCCTGGGTTTCGGTGGTCGCGCCCGAGATCTTCCCGCGGCTCCGCCTTTTCCTGGGCTCGGAGGGGCCTTGTCGGGGCTGCTTATGTTCTGCCTCACGGTCTCGCCTCCGGTTGGTGGTCGGGTGGCTTCGTGGTAGGTGTCCCACCTGCGTGCTTCTCTTGGCGGCAGTATGGGGTATTTTGGCGGTCCTTCCTTTTTCTGTCCCTTCTTAGGTGGTTACTCTTGTTAGCTTGGTTTACTCTCGGCTTGGTTTTCTGGTGGGGGCTGGGGGCCGTCGTCTTGCCACATACTGTCGCCTCTTTTCGTGCGGCGCTGGCGGAGCCACTTCAGCTTGCTTTCGGTCTTGGTGTTGCTTCTGCACCGTTAGTAAGCTGTCGTGCATTGTTTCACCTCCGGCCTGTTCGTGCGCCGCTTCCACCATCCTGGTCTCTGGTCAGCGTGCTCTGTCTTCTCCTCGGTTGGTAGAGCTCTTTCGGTTTTAGCGTTTTGGTTGTTCGGTGGCAGCAGTCTCCATCTTTTCTGGCGCGGGGTGGGGCTGCTGCATTCTGGAGGGGTCCAGGGTTTGTTGGTGCTTCGTTGGTCGGGCCGGGGGTGTGTCGTGTTTTGTGTTCAGTGGCGGCCCTCCGCTGTTGTTTGCGTGCCACGGCGTTTGGGTCCGGAGCGCGTTTTGCGTTGATCCGGTTCTGTTCTTCCTGGTTCACGGATGATGGTGTCCCGGGTGGTCAGCCGTGTTCTTGCGGCTAAGCTGCCTGTGTTCTTCCCTCATGCCTGTGGCGTTCGTAGCTTCGCTGCTCTCGCTGCCGTCTGGGCGACGTGGCCTTGCAGTCTTTCGGCATGGATTTTTGGTGTTCGTGCGGGGGCCTTGCTGCTCGTTGTTCTCGTGTTGTTCCCGGGACTTTTCGGGACTGTGGCGCCTTGGGTTGGCGTTTGCTGCCGGTTGTCTCGCTTCCATGGCGGGTGCGTGGTGTCCGCCTCCCAGTTCTGTCCCTTTGACCTTCCTCTGTGGGTAATTAGCTCCGGGGAGCCGACGGGGCTCCCCCCAGAAAACCAGCGTTGAATGTAATGAAACGCCATTTTCTGGGTGAGACCCGGAGGCTCCCCGGCAACCCTCCCTCCCTCCGGTCAGCGTTTTTTTGCGTGTTTTGACATCCAGCCTCAGAACTGATGGGTGGATAGCCGGCGTGGGAGGTCTGGGGCTCCCCCTTCCCCCTCCCGGGAAGGGGGGAGCTGCCCAGACAGCGGCGCGGTGACGTATGACGTCATACTAGTTTCCATGTTTTCTGTTGAAGAGTTCTATCCACTAGTTCGGCTTTAGGTAGCAATTTTCACCAGAATAGGGGTTTGTTTTGGAATGCTTACCTTTCTGGATGCTTGACCCGGTCGATGGCAGACATAGAATGCTTCCTACCACACGGGGTTTTCTATAGGCCATTGCTCCCCTTGCCTCTCTGAGGGGGCCAGGTTTTGGCCGTGGTCCCCCGGTAGGCCCTAGAACTCCATACACATGACTGATGCCAAAGTCTGACATTAGCATATCAGCTGGTAAAGCTCCGGGGAGCCTCCGGATCTCACCCAGAAAATGGCGTTTCATTACATTCAACGCTGGTTCTTTTGCTGTAATATTATTCAATAGTGTGTAGTGTGATATATTTATATAATAAAATGAGTGAATCATTGCTGTACTCAAAAATATGGTGTCATATTGTTGATTTAATTATGTTCATCAAACAGTGAACAAATACTTTGACGGTTATTACACTATATACACAGGTTATATATAAGTATCTGTATGTTTTGTTCACCATAATGAACCACAAAGTTGCTATTATGAGTCAAAAAGTAACGAGGAGTCACCACCACACATCAGCCAGTCACTCACTCCCTCAACACCTCACTCGCTCACATTCTCCTCCCACCATACTGTTTTTGCTTTTATTCACTATATACAGATGTTATATATATAAGTATCTACATTCGTGTTCACCATAACGAACAACTAAGTTGGCATGCTGAGTGGCAGTGCCTGTGGCAGCCCGCCACTGGCTGCTACTTCCTCCCTTCCTCAAGTCACCTGACTCACCCTAATTCTCCTCCCACCATACTGTTTTTGCTTTTATTCACTATATACAGATGTTATATATATAAGTATCTACATTCGTGTTCACCATAACGAACAACTAAGTTGGTATGCTGAGTGGCAGTGGCAGCCAGTGGCAGCCAGTGGCAACCCGCCACTGGCTGCCTCCCTCCCTCACCTCACCTGACTTGCCACCATTCTCCTCCCACCATACTGTTTTTGCTTTTATATATACAGACGTTATATATAAGTATTTACATGTTTTGTTCACTATAACTGTACATCTAAGCTTGTATGGTGAGTAAAGGCACAAAGACGTAGCTACTCACACAGTCAGCTGGTGGCGGCCGCCCTCAGGCCAGACCTACTAATATTTCTCCTCCAACAATACTGTTTGTGGTGTTATTACTCTATATACACACATTATATACAAGTATCTACCTGTTTTATTTACCATACTTGCACAAGTAAACTGGTATGGTGCCCAAAGACCATAGCGGTCACCAGTAAACAACATGACAAGTCGTGCAGACGACGCACCTCCCTCACCAAAATGGCGGCTCCCAACTTACTCCTATTGCTGTTATTACACTCTATACACACGTGATATATATAAGTGCCTACATTTGTGTTCACCATAGCGAACCACTATGGTGAGTGCAGTCAATAAAAGGTGGCTACACACAGTCAGAAGACGACGCCACCACCCTCCCTCCCACAGCATTACTCCTCCCTCCATGGAGCACAGCGCTAAATATCACCACAATCCTGCTATTATCAGAACCCTGGTCAGTTTTATCACAGTCAGGGGGCTTCTGTAATTATATCATCGCTAAATAATAGCAAGAACATGTATATTTATGGCATTTTTAGGTGATGCTGTGGTCGCAAGCTGAACAGCAGTGCTGTGAGCTCATGCTGCATGTGTCAGGCTTGGTAGCTCGCTCAATACTGAATTTGGAATTTGGCCCACAATTTTTTTTTATAATGGCGTCTGTTTACAAGAGCCCTGATGAAGGTGTGGTGAACCCCGTGTATTCGCGGGCCGTTTAAATCTTGCGTGGTACTCCAAAACATCACATGACGCCGAGCACAAGTTACTGCAAGTTACTCAACGCATCATATGATGTCTTGCGCAACTAAGGGGTTAATATCCAGGTGTTCTACCCATTTGGTTTTAACTACTTTTTCTAATGTTTTGACCACCATGCTTGTTAATGATACAGGTCTATAATTTAGAGGATCTTCTTGTTACCATTTTTATAGATTGGACCTATGTTTGCCTTTTATAACATTTTATCATATTTTATGATAATATCACTTGAGAATTATCTGCAGGTTTTAGATGAAGCAAAAGATGCAATAATGACAGTTGAAGTATCATCCCACGAGATCCTTACTGCATCACTGGATTGTTACACTCGTATATATGACCTGCGTAATGGCCAACTGGTGTCAAATTGTATTGGAGGTAAGGAAAATTTTTGTTGCTATTAAATATTACCTATAATATGAAAGGCCTAAAAAAAGGGACAGTCCCAGAGTTAGTAAATCACAACAGTCCCAGAGTCAGTAAAACGCAAGATATCTGCGTGAAGTAAAAATATTCATTACTAAATTAGACTTCTCTCTCAAAACTGGGACTAATTTTCATAAATAATTTATAAGCTTTATCATTCAAATGTTCCCTAAGGCATGCTCTCTGAATATTCCATTAAACAGGTTCATGATACTTAGCGTAGGATGACATTCCACACATGCTCAGTAGAAAACTTTTCAAGTATTCCCTTAATCATGCAGGCAATGTATTACTATGAAACATCCTCTTTCACTGATGTTTCATCTGGTTACTTCTCATATTCGGGCTTTGCTAACTCATTTACTGTATTTGGAAATGACAAATGTGCCCTCTTGGTTGGATGCACAGTCTTTGGCTGGGTGGATGCTGTCGGCCAATAGTTGCTGGGTTGGCCACTTAGAAAAGTCCATGACATGTATTGTTTACATTGGGTGGCAGATGGTAGACTAAGGTGGTGGGTGGCAGATGGTAGACTAAGGAGGTGGGTGGCTGATGGTAGATTAAGGTGGGTGGGTGGCTGATGGTAGACTAAGGAGGTGGGTGGCAGGTGGTAGACTAAGGTGGTGGGTGGCTGATGGTAGATTAAGGAGGTGGGTGGCTGATGGTAGATTAAGGAGGTGGGTGGCAGATGGTAGACTAAGGTGGTGGGTGGCAGATGATAGACTAAGGTGGTGGGTGGCAGATGGTAGATTAAGAAAGGTGGGTGGCAGATGGTAGACTAAGGAGGTGGGTGGCAGATGGTAGATTAACCCTTTAACTGCGCGGCCTATAAATATGACACCCCCCCCCAGTGCGCAAGAAATAAATTCTCGGGAAAAAAATTCTTTTTAGTTCTGAAAGTGTCAAAAACCCCCTCCCTGTAAATGGGTATAGCAACAGAATTTCGAAATTGTACTTACTTTGGCTGCTATGGGGTCCATAAGGTGGTGTGTGACGTCATCATTCCCTGTGCGCCAGTGCAGTAAGCTCCCGGGGCCGGTGGGGCGCGCGAGTTGCTGCGAATATATTTTTGTTCATTTTTTGCGCACAGTTCCAAATACATTTTATTTGTTTTTATGTGCTAATCCGATGTACAGGTATAATGAACACGTACACCATATTATGGCAGTAAAACGTCCGTACTCTCCAAGGACACTTTGTTACGTGCATGACACTTGTGTACACATTAGCTGCACATATTTACCATGTATCATGCTAATTTATGTATATATACAATCTATTTACAAACTATACACTGTCACACACTATATACATTCACCATCAACACATTCAGAACACCGCAAGCGTGAGCTGTCACACCCAGCCAGCCCTCCCTCACTCCTCCAACATTGTATTCGCCAACTTTGCCCCTCCCATCATACAGTTATTCACACCAATGTTTCATGTTCATTTATGTATATTTACAACATATGTACACACTATACACTATCACACACTATATACATTTACCATCAACACATTCAGAACATTGCGAGTGTGAGCAGCCACACCCACACAGGCCTAATAGGAGCTGCCTCGTATGGGCCAATAGCAGCTGCCTCGTATGGGCCAATAGACCTTCAGCAGATACCTTTGTTCTTATGTTCTTAGCTCCTCTCAACATACTCCTGTTGCTGTTATTACACTATATACACACACACACTCTGTATATACCCATGTACATGTGTATTCCCCATAGCAAACCACGAAGCTAGTATGGTGAGCAAAACAAGAATGGCTGCCACACAGTGAGGGTTATCTTGAGAGGTTATCTTGAGATGATTTCGGGGCTTTAGTGTCCCCGCGGCCCGGTCCTCGACCAGGCCTCCACCCCCAGGAAGCAGCCCGTGACAGCTGACTAACACCCAGGTACCTATTTTACCGCTAGGTAACAGGGACATAGAGTGAAAGAAACTCTGCCCATTGTTTCTCGCCGGCGCCCGGGATCGAACCCGGGACCACAGGGTCACAAGTCCAGCATGCTGTCCGCTCGGCTGACCGGCTCCCTTGTACCTCAATTACCTCAATTCCTCAATTCTCTCCCTCCCTCCCTCACCAAAATACCTCCTTCCACAATACTACGCTCAACGCTAATTATAACCACAATACTGATCACTAATTCCTGTAAATACATAATTGACCACAAGTTTATTTTGAAAAGAAACCTAAAAGGTCGTTTGAAGATTCCTTGATGGACGAAATAATGCTGTGGTGCTGTGGCTAGCACTGTCAACATCGTGAACAGCATTGTATCACTGATATTTGAACATTGTACCCAGTCATTATCACACTCAGGCTCTTCTATAATACTATCATGGCTAAATAATGCAAGTTATATATATATATATTATGACATTATTAGGCGATGCTGTGGTCACACGCTGAACAGCAGTGCTGTGCGCTCATACTGCGAGCGCCAGCCTTGGTTGCTCACTCACTACTGAGGCTCCCACACCCGGGAATGTGGACTAAGATTTTTTTAAAGATGGCGTCTGTTTATAAGAGCCCTGAGGAAGCTGATGTGAACCCCATGTAGCCGCGGGAGTTTTGAATGGAACGTGAAAAATACAAATACCCGTAGGCGCGTTGCGCACCTGAAGCCTGGGCCTGCAGGCGTGTTGCGCACCTGAAACCTGGGCCTGCAGGCGTGTTGCGCACCTGAAACCTGGGCCTGCAGGCGTGTTGCGCACCTGAAACCTGGGCCTGCAGGCGCGTTGCGCAGTTAAAGGGTTAAGGAGGTGGGTGGCTGATGGTAGACTAAGGTGGTGGGTGGCAGATGGTAGACTAAGGTGGTGGGTGGCTGATGGTAGACTAAGGAGGTGGGTGGCAGATGGTAGACTAAGGTGGTGGGTGGCAGATGGTAGACTAAGGTGGTGGGTGGCAGCTGGTAGACTAAGGTGGTGGGTGGCAGATGGTAGACTAAGGTGGTGGGTGGCAGATGGTAGACTAAGGAGGTGGGTGGCAGATGGTAGACTAAGGTGGTGGTTGGCAGATGGTAGACTAAGGTGGTGGGTGGCAGATGGTAGACTAAGGTGGTGGGTGGCAGATGGTAGACTAAGGTGGTGGGTGGCAGATGGTAGACTAAGGTGGTGGGTGGCTGATGGTAGACTAAGGTGGTGGGTGGCAGATGGTAGACTAAGGTGGTGGGTGGCAGATGGTAGACTAAGGTGGTGGGTGGCAGATGGTAGACTAAGGTGGTGGGTGGCCTCCTCCCTCGCTCCCTCCTCCTCTCCTCCCCTCTCCTTCTCTCCTCCCCTCTCCTTCTCTCCTCCCCTCTCCTTCTCTCCTCCTCCCTCCCCTTCCTCCCTCCTTCCCTCCTCCTCCCTCCTCCCTACCCTCCCTCCCTCCTTCTCCCTACCCTCCCTCCCTCTTCCTCCCCCCTCCTCCTCACTCTTCTTCCTCCCTCCCTTCTCCTCCCCCTTCTTCCTCCCTCCCTCCTCCTCCCCCTTCTTCCTCCCTCCCTCCTCCTCCCCCTCCTCCCTCCTCCTCCCTCCCTCTCTCCTCCTCCTTTCTTCTCCTCCTCCTCCTCCTCCTCTTCCTCCTCTCTCTCCTCCCCCCCTTTTCCTACATTTCTGGTTTACAAACTCACACGTAACCCGACAGGTCTCATCCCTGAGGGGTTCGCAAAGCACGTGCTCCTCTGTATCCATTTTACTGTTGGGTTTAAACAGTGGCTACAGTTAAGGTTTGGCACCCAGTATTTCCTCCCCGGCTAGGATACGAACCCAGGCCAAAGCGATCACGAAAGACAGCTTCTGGACATGCTACAGTTTCTTGGCTGTCTGTCATTTTCTTTTTCTTCGTTGGTTTTCATTGATTTCAGACCAGGTTGTTTTGTCCTCTCTCTCTCTCTCAACTTTATATGGAGTGGCCTCTTATGCCTATTACTATCACTTCGTATCGCATGCCATTGGAGGAGCCGCTGCTTCTTGCATTCAGTGTGGATGCCACCCTTACTCTGCTCTGTTCCAGTCGCTTTCTTGTGCGTTTTCTGGGCAGGAGCTCCGTCGGCTCCCTGGAGCTATCCTGGCTGAATGGATATGTATATCTTTCTGGCATCAGTCAATGCATGAAGTTCTTGCCTACCGGGGACCACGAGCCAGAACCTGGCTCCCTCTAGAGAGGCACGAGGAGCAATGGCTTATAGAGACCACCCCTGTGGTTGGGAGCATTCTATGTCTGCCATCGACCGGGACAGGCACCCAGAAAGGTAGGTGCCCCAAAATAAACCCCCTATTCTGGTAAAATTATTGCGACCGAAGGCCGAACAGTTAGACAGAACTCCCCAAATGAAAATTAGCAAACTAGCATGACGTTGTCATGTTGCCGTGCCGCTGTCTGCACAACCCCCCCCCCTCCCCGGGTGGGTGAAGGGGGAGCCCCAGACCCACTGCCGGCAACCCACTCCTCAGTTCTTGGCTGATGGGATTCTGGTGCGGTCCTGCCTCTGGCTCCAGTTTTGTTTCAGTTTTGTACCTTGTGGTGTGGGCTGTCTCTTCCGGGGTGCGTGAGCCAGGAGACGTATTCCACAGTACTCGGGCTGCATGTGCCTAGGGTCACCTTTCCTAGGTGCCCTGTTAGTAATGCCCTTGGGGCTTGGGGCTACCTTCTACAAGTCACTTCGGGATCTACCTCCGGATCAGCCGGGCTGTGGTGGGTATGTGGCCCTGCGAGAAGCTCCAAGCAGCAGCCTGGTGGACCAGACTCTCACAAGTCGAGCCTGGCCTTGGGCCGGGCTTGGGGAGTAGAAGAACTCCCAGAACCCCATCAACCAGGTATCAACCTCCGCTGTGCCGTTTACTGCTCGGTAATTGACTGCCCTTGGGGTCAGCTGGGTTTTTTCTTGCCCTTGTTTGTCTCTGGATAGGGGGGTAGTTTTTGTCATTGGTAGTGGCACGGGGTACTGCACAGCT